TTCTTCCCATCCTCCCTGCATCACCATCTTCACTGAAGTATGCCATATGTATTCCCGTGCCTGATCTCACTCTAGATCTACACAAAAAGCATCTTGGATTGCCCATCATCATGTCAACATTAAAATCACAGAATTATAGAAAGTTATTTAGATGGGACCTCTGGACATCATTCACTCCCACCTTCTTCTAGAAGCTGTATTTCATCCAATACTAGATGAAGTCAGCTGCGGCTTCTGCTACCCAAGTCTCAAAAACCTCTAAGGATGGAGGTGCCAGAATTTCTCTAGGAAACCTGTCCCAGTGCTGCACCAGACCTCATGGTGAAGTTCTTTCTAATGCTCAGTCTGAACATCCCAGCCACCGTCTGTGCCTGCTGCACCTTGTCATACCTTCTAACACTACTAAGAAGAATCTGGCCCTGTAGTCTTTACAAGACACCTTCCAGTGGCTATAGACCACCATTACACTACTGGTAGCCTTTCCTCAGCTGGACTAAATCTCAGCTCACTGATCTTTTCCTTATTGGTCACAAACATCTAGCCAAAATACCAGCCCCTCCAGTTTCTCAATATCCTTCTTGAACTTGAAGGGAGGATTTGTCTCAAAACTGGACACAGTGTTCGAGGTGCAGTGTCATGAACGCCAAGAACATGGGAATGATAACTTCCTTCTCCAGCTCCTGGAGATGGGAAAAAAGTTCTCTCCAAAGCTGAATATTCATCTTACTTCCACATTATTCTTGCTTTTCTGGCCTTGACAACATTACTAAAGCCAGTTACCTTTCGTTCCCTAACTCTGTTAGTTTCAATCTGTATCTCAGCTAACCTCGTGATAATTTTTTGTAGCTTCTTTCTCCTTATTAGCAAGGATGCTGTTTACTCTCCCAACCTTCTCTACACAATGGTCATCTCCTTTCCTCACCCCTTCTTCCTCTCAGCTGTTAAAAATACCACTTTTGAAAGTGAATCTGTCTTTACACAGACATGTCTTTGCTCTGTATCACTTTATTAGTGTATTTCTCGGTTGCCTAAACCTCACATGTCACCTTCTGACCCATCCTACTAAACCTCAGTCCATCTATTTTTTCCTTACTCCAGGGTGTTCCTCATTCCTCTGACTGATGTGTGTCCAAGGTATAGTATAAGCGCTATGTCACTGTGTGTTTATAAAAACCTCTCTTTGTGCACATTCACCTTCTACTATAATATCCACTTGTTTCATAATAAATTCATGAAAAAACCTTTTAAAAAAATGGGGGTTTTGTCAATGACTATTTTGATTTTGGGCACCAAATATTGATCAATTAGCAGTAGCTGCATAAATCGTCCCTCTTTATTGTTTTATTATTATGCCCTTCAGTTATATTTGCACTGCCTGAATTTTGGAGGTAAATATCGAAAATATTAGCTGAAAGCTTCCTCAGAAAGCAAATCTTTCCCACATCCTTCCCTGCAGTTCCTCTTTAAGAGGTGTCAGCATGGCTGAGAGAATGAAGTGGCTCCACATTGTTTGCCTGAACTATTATGTGTTTAACATTTCCATAACAAAAGTGCCACTCGACTTCTCCCCGATTAATGCAGCTCGAGGGCTCTTGTCCTCCTTTAATAAAACATTGTTGAAATCATTTATTTAGAGCCCCTGGTTACTAGTGGGAGAATGACCATCTTTGTGCCAAAATATAGTGTATACAGTCCACTATTTTGTAGTAGATCATTCTGTTATTTAAGAAATTGATTAAATGGATGTCTTAGAAAGTATTTATGCTAATAGCGCATTACTTATGTCATTCAGACAGTCAATGTGAGCCTTTTCAACTGTCTACCACAGCCAATGCCTCAAGTAAAATACAGTAACTTTTGACTTTACTGCTTACAAATCTGTATGGCAGACTTGAAATCTCACAGAGAAGCACTGCTCTTCCCATTTCAAAACGTTTTCTGTTGCAAGACTACCTGCTTTCCCTGAGGACTTGCAATAGGTATGTTATCACAGGCAGTGTGGCAGTGTGATGTTATTACTAGGGACAGGAACAAAATCAACTGAAGGTCTGAATTTGTTTTAGTGACACTGAAGATGCAATACAACTCAGGCACGCAGTGTTTTCCATGACTCATCTGGTCATGATGTTGCGTCCCGCTATGTTTTATATGTGTATCTCAGCTATTTCGGAGTTCCTCTCACCCTCTTCCAGTGTACTCAAAAGAAAAAACAAACCAAAAAGCAACTACTGGTTTTCCATTGCATTGAGATGGAATTTCTTGTCCTGCACCTGCAAAGCTGGCTGCCACCACCTCTGCACCCCTATCACAGATGCGCGCTGTAGATGCAAGCCTGCAGTGGGAGTCCTGGTACACTGACAGCTCTTAGGAGGAGTGGAGAGGAGATTGTAACTAAAATCCATCATGCTTTCCAGAGCGACTATGAAAGACTTGGCCAAACTGGAGCTTTGCTTACCATCATTGTAAGGCTTCATTTCATAACAATTTTGAAAGTTATGTATGCCTGCCTGTATACATTGGTGTATATTGTTAAAAATAAACAGAGACCTTATGTTATGTCCATTGTGATTGCATACAAAAGCTTTGCTGTGCGCTTGGGTGATCAGTGAAGCTTGAATCTCCCTCTATTTACTGTATGGTCACTGTCAGTTCAATGAACTGCCTCCTTGTTCTCCACCATTGTCCCACACTCCCTTAAACATTTGTCACTGAAGTGCCTCCAAAGACAAATAAACTGTCACCAAGAATTCAAACCTGGTTACTGGGAATAAAAAGGGAGCAGAACCTACTGGATTATTTTACATGAAATGGTGGAGAGTTCCTTCTCCCCCCTTCTCCCCCCGGAAGAGATTGGCTGGACAGGACCTTGGCAAGGAGCACTTTCAAATACCCAAACAAATGAGAGAACTTCCTTTCCTGTGGAAAATCTCCGTCAGGGAATGAGAAGTCTTTTCCTTGCTGAAAGCTGTCCTTGCCACATCCCTTGACATTTCAAGAACTTCCATTTGTCTCAAAATCAAGCAAAAGAAATACGAATTTGATGGACATCAACATCTGCACAGGCTTTGTTGGCTGGGACACATACCAGTACAGCCAGCTATTCCTCCTGGAAATTGTGCTTACTCCAACAGCACGACAAAACTCACAGTTATCTCCTTGTGGGGAGGAGCTTACGGGACAGAATTAGTTCAGCTGTATTTATTGTACAATTATTTAAATTAAAACAATCCACTTTCTGTGGAGAAGGAAGCATACAGATGAGTTCTCGCTGCCTAGTGGTGCTCGGTGTTGATTTATTCCAGGCAGATGCTTTTGACAGGAGCCTGTAAAATTGAGTCTTGAGTTTATTGTAGCAGTTAATTATCAGTCCTTTTCTAGTGTTAATGTCTTTATTCCTAAGTGAAGAAAAATAAAGGCTTTTAGCTGGGACTTAATTTTTCATCAATGAGTTAAATAGTTCTTTTGGGCGTTGCTGACAAACTGAAAATATGTTTCTGAGCATCTCCGGAAGAACTGGAGAAAATATTTAGGATTATCCCTGTGCAGTTGTGAACTCAGCACTGTGTAAAGCAAGCTGACTCTATTTCCAAGTCTCACCCAACTACTGTGTCCTCTTCCTGAAGAAACAACGTTTCCAGCTTTAACAATAAGCTTACTCAACCCTTCAGATGACTTTAAAAGACAAACTTCAGATCATAGCTGTGCGCTATACTCATACACTTGTTTGGTATCACGACCATTTGGGGGTTTCGTTTATGCATGTGCACGTGCTCCTGTGTGCGCTTATCGCTGGGCAACCTAATCAACTTCATACCCTGAAGAAATAATAAAATAATCTTGAAATAACTAATCCAGAAGCAGGGACTTCTAATTTTGTTGATTTATACAACAGACAGATGTGGATTTGCGCTCTGTCGAGATCTGGTAAAATGAAAAGACATTATCTTGCTAATCTGTCGCCCCCTCAGTCAAAGTTTATTTGTGGTAGCTTTTAAACTTCTGGCTTGCCTTACAATTATGGCATTTAAACAGAAAAGCTTTAAATAAACACGATGAATAGAAGATAAATAAACTTCCTCTTCCCCCCCCCCCTTTTTTTTTTTTTTTTTTTTTTCCTTTTTCTGTGAGTGCCTTGCTTGACACAGTCCAAACTCAAATCCCCAGAGGACTGAGCTTTCTCTTTTGTGTTAATGTTTAAAAGATTTTCCAATGCCGGAGTTTATTCCTACTGCAAACATTTCTATTTACAAGGTCAAGTGTATCAGCACTCGACACAGCTTAAGAGTGTAATTATTTATCTAAGGGCGTTTGAGTGTAGATCAGTAGCTCTGGCAGCAAACCAGGCTTCAGCACGATGCAAAGCAACTCCCAAGAACAATATTACAAGATCTAGTAATTGCTGATCCCTCCAGTGTGTTTACTTTTGCATTCTTCGTGGTGGGAGAAGGCAGGCTGAATGGCCAACTTCCGTGTGTTTTGTTGCAGCCCCCTTGATGCGTGCGACACTGCCTGCGCCGAGCCTTGTTCTAAACGCTTGCCACCTCTTGTGTGATGTATTTCTCGCCATTTACTTCTTTGCACGCCTAGGAGCATTTCTAAGAGTGTCAGCGAGAGCAACATGCCTCCACTTCACGAAGAAAGCGCGGCGCACTAGTAATTCTACATACATACAGGAGCAGCGTCCTTGAATTGCTTTACTCTCTTCTGGCACCGGCAAGTTACCATGCCAACGCATTATAAAATCAACCACTCTTTTAAAGTAGTACTTTCAAAGCTGTATTTACTTCTTGCATGTAATTATTCATTAAAGTAAGAATAGCAGTAATTTACATCTATGTAAAGTATTACAGGCAGACAGAGATTTTTGTTTGTTGATTGTTTTTGGTTTGTTATTCTGTGGTTCGCTTCCGTGGTTCGCTCCCCTCCTCCCCACCCCCCCACCCCCCTCCCCCGGGTGCTGAGAGTTCAAGTGTCCCTGGAAAACAATTTCACCACATCCATTATTTAAAGCTCTTTCTTTACTAATTTACACGTTTAGAAAATACAAAAAGCCGTACATATTTAAAACACAGGCCTTTTTTACGCCTCCTATAAAAAATACAAGGTTTAAGGCAGCTCAGAAATGCTTTTATGCAGTTCTACAACGTTCATAAAGTCTCTCCAGATAAGAATAACTTCCAATCTGTAAAATACATTGTGCATTTGATGTTCTAGAGAATATTTCACTGAATCACTGTTGCTGGTATCCCTTTAAACACAGAATTAAATCTGTACCTTTCCAGAAGATAATAGCAAATGCCACTATCTGGCAAATAGGATGTGGACTTAAAACTTTATTTTTTTTTTTCTTAAATAAATTATCCCCAAAGCATACAATTTATAAAATTCTATATACAACGAAGAGCAACTGGTAACAAATCCCAGTTTTAAATACATTTTTTAATAAAAGATTTACCAGAGGTCAGCACCCTGATATGACGAGAGGCAATATAACTTTTCAGGATATTTGTACATACATGTTCTCGAGTTTAAAAGTGTCTTTCAAAGATGGCAGTGCAGAGCTCTTTTAAAACAAAAGTTGCATTGTTCAGTATAGCCAACAACTCTGAGGGGGGAGAAAAAAAAAAAAAAAAAAAAAAGGATCTTTTTATGTCGCTAGGTTAAAGAGGAAGAGACGGCTGCTGGCATGCTTTTGTTACAGGGAAGATGTGTGTGCAAGAAGGAGTGCTGTAAACCACAGAATTTATTCAGTCTGCTATTTCCTTAAATTTAATTAACGGCAGATGCGGCGTCACCCCCTTTCGGGCACCGCCGCACCACGAAGAGCGAGACTTGGCAAACGATAAGCGAGCTGTTGACTAACCAGTACGGGAAGGGCTTTGGCAGCAAGTCTGGGTAGCTCACCTCTCCCTAACCTTCATGTCAAAACGCTTAAAAAACAGCCACCGCCAGCCAGCGCGCCGTCCCTCCCGGTTCCTCCCGGGGAGCGGCGGGCGGCAGCGGGGCGCCGGCCGCGGCCCCGCCGGCAGCCTCTCCGTTAGCCCGCCCGCTGCTGACACGGAGGCGGGGTAGCCACCATTGCATAGTGCACACTCGAGACCGACACCCGAAACACGAGCGGCCCCCGGCCCGCCGCGCCGCGCCGCTCGGCCGCCGCCCCCCGCCGGAGGCGGCCGGGCCGGGGGAAGGGTGCGGACGGGAGGAGGGGGGGTTGGGGGGGGGGGCACACCTTTGCCTTCGGGGAGAAGCGGGGGGGACGGAGCGGCGTGGGGAGGGTCGAGGCGGGACGCGGGCCGTGCCCCCGGCGCAGGGAGAGGGCGGGCGGGCGGCCGGGAGGGACGCTACAGCCGCGGCAGCAGCGCCAGGAAGATGGAGGCCAGCAGCGCCCAGGCCGCGGCGGCGGGCCGGCCGGCGCTGTCCGCCTGCACGGGGAAGCCGGGCTCGGCGCCCGCATTGTCCTCGGCGTCGTCCCTCCCCTTATGGCTCGGCTCCTCCTCGTAGTCCTCGTCGTAGTACTCCTCCAGGCCGCCGTCCGAGCCGCCGCTGCTGCCGGCGCCGTTGCCGCCCATGTCCGCGCCGAAGCAGAGGCGGGCCATGTTCTCCTTGACCGACTCGCAGATGGGCCGCTCCAGCCCGTCGCAGACGCAGTCGTTGAGCAGCACGGCCTTGGGCACGGCCAGCATGTCCTCGATGACGGCGCGGCACTCCGGCGTGCAGCGCAGCCCGTTGAACAGCTTCCCGCAGTAGGTCATGTAGCGGTTGAGCGCCAGGCTGCAGCGGCTGTCCCAGTCGCAGCGCCGCCGCGCCTCCGTGCAGCCCATGACGCCGGGGCCGCCGCCGCCGCCGCCGCCGCCGCCGCCGGGGGGGCCGGGGCCGCCGGCCGCCGGGCTGCTGGTGCGGGGCAGGCAGGGCTCGATGGCGCGCTTGGTGGCGCGGCAGTTCTCGTCCTGCGCGCAGTCGCAGTCCTCCAGCGCCGGGCCGCGCCGGGTGTGGTTGAGCTGGATGAGGGCCGCGATGCAGTGGCTGGGGCACCGCCGCCTGGAGGAGGCGCCGGCGCCTGCAGCGGCCGCCGGCCCGTCCCCGCCGCCGCCGCCGCCGCCGCCGCCGCCGCCGCCGCCCGCCGGCGGCTGCTGCAGGAGCACCGGGGCGCACGCCTCGGCGTACTGGTTGTACGCGTAGCTGCACTCGGGCTCCCCCTGACACTGCAGCACCGCCTGCCAGCAGATCAGCCGCCGGCCCTGCACCAGCGAGCTCCGCGGCGGCCACACGGCGCCCAGCGCCGCCGCCAGCCACAGCCAGGCGGCCGGCCGCGGCCAGCGGCGCCCGCCGCCTCCGCGCCCAGCGGGCGGGCGGGCCGGCATCGCGGGCGGCGGCTGCTGCCGCAGGCGAGCGGGGGAGAGGCGCCGGTAGACGACGAGAGCGACGAGGAGGAGGAGGAGGAGGACGACGACGACGACGAGGAGGAGGAGGAGAAGGAGCTGCCGCCCGCGGAAAAGTTTGCAAAACTCCCGTCGGCCGTGTTCATGAGGTCTCCTCGCATCAATCCATCCGCGCCGGCTCCGGGGCCCTCCAGCCCCCGGGAGCTGAAAGCGGCGGGGTCGCGGTACGAAGCAGGGCGCCCGGGGCCGTCCCGTGCCCCCCACCCGCAGCTCCGGGCGCGGCGGAGGCGGCGAAGGCTCCCGGGGAGGTGGGGGGGAGTCAGTGCAAACCGGCGCTCGGAGGAGAGCGGCTCCGGAGTGCGCTCGGGGACTTGCAGGCTGCGCCGGGAGAGCTCATGGTGCCGTCCTGCTCCTCATCCAGTTCCGTTTCTCTTTTTTTGCTTTTTTTTTTTCTTTTTTTTTTGCACAAAATAAATGCCCAGCTGCTGCTGCTGCTGCTGTTTGCTGCTGCTGCTGTTACTGCCGCCGCTGCCTCCTCGGGAGCTTTTAACTCTCCGCTCGCAGCATCTCTGCACATGCCAGCCGCTCCGATCCCATTCACGGTCCCGGCCCCGCTCAGTCCCTCTCGGTGCGGGTTGCGCTTTCGGGTGGCGGGGAGAAGAGGTGCCTCTCCCCGCGAGGAAGAAGATAGCACGGGGAAAGGAGGAGAGGCAGCCTTCAGGGTCTCTTTCTCTCTGGGCGACTGATGCTGCTTCTGTTGTCAACAAGCCCTGCGAGCTGCTCTGCGGATCCGTCTGTGGATCTTTTTTTCTTTGCAAGGCTTTAAATACAAAAGTGCCCTCCGAGCAGCAGCAACGTGCTCTGATTAGGCCTCATTATGCATGCATGGAAAAGCAAACAAACAAAAAAAATTAGCAACGCTTCTTCTTTTACACATCCCCCCAGCCTGCGCTCTCTCGCTCTCTTTCTCCTTTTCTCCACTTTTTTCTCCCTTCGCTCGGCCCCCGTTCTCTGCCTCGCCACTTGCCATTGGTCCAGCCTGTTGTTGAAACTTTTTTTTTTTTTTTTCCCCTCCTCTCTTTACGATCTGCTGGAGGGAGGGAAGGAGAGAGGGGGGCTGGAGGGCAGCTCACATTCAAAGCTTGAAAGGAAAGGCTTAAGGAGAGTGACAGCCCCCCGAGGAGCCCCTCCTCCCGTTAAGGCGGCGCGGCGGCCGGGCGAGAGGCGCGCAGCGGCGGCGAAGGCGCTCCGGGGCTCCGGGGCTCCGGGGCTCCGGGGCTGGCCGGGCGGCGGCGGCGGGGCTCCCCGGGCCGCGGCCGGGGTCCCCGGGCTCCCCGGGCCTCCTCGCCGCGGAGGCAAAGGGGCAGGCGGCGTGGATCTGCGTGCTGCTTCTGCGGGGGTGCTGCGCTTAAACCGGTCCTGCTCCCCTGCAGCGAGGAAAAAAAACAAGGTCTCTAGCCTGAGTGAGTGATGTGTGTACCCAAACTTCTCACTGATTCAAGTGAGGGCAGGGCTGCTTCCCGAAAGGTAGGGAGGATCAGGCTCAACATGGGACCGACATTGTTCTTGCTGAAATCTAAACAGAGTTCTTGGTTTCAGTGTGTTAGTGCACCCAGGGAGAGCAAAGCTAGCTCTTACTAGTGATGAACTGCGATCGTGTAAGTACTGCTTTGCTGCGCCGTCAGTATTGTGACTTTTCTTCCACTTGCCGCATCCCCCACTGATTTTAAACTCACGCAGCTTAGCTTCGCGCCTGAGGTTTTGGTGTGCGCGTTTAAGACACTGATTGAGGAGGATGCCTACCGATAGAAATACAGTAGATCTCAGTATGGTTCTTTGATACTTTGTTAAGGTCCGCCAACTAGTAAGAAGCTGCTTAAAATCTGTTAGTTAAGAGAGTGAAATGTCTTTTCATTGAAAGCAAAACACCTTGCTGACGTCCTGCTTTCCTGTTACACTCCCCGTTCGTTTTGACTTGCTTGTAAGGAAGTAGACACAAAAATATAAATATTAAGGCACAACGAGAGGAGCATAACAAAGTAAGTCGTGGTGCATTTACCCATTGCCTTTCGTTTCAGTGCTACCTTAATTGCAGAGCAACATCGTCTCCAACCACAAGGGGCATCAGTATCTGCTGCCTGTCAAAACTGGCGCTTTTTTCATCCTATCAACTCCATCTGTCACAAAAATTAGGGCTAAATCTATTTTCCAGAAACTCGGGAATGTTGAGATTCTGTGCGGTGTGGACTGATGTCCGTCTGGACGTGCGTGGAAGGTGTAATGGCGATGTGGTGTGGCTGGGAGTCGGTGTGATTGATGCTTTGAGAAGCATTCATAAGGATTTGCTCCATTGTCATCTGTTTTACATGGTGCTTGTGCTTCTCCTCCAGCGCAGTTTTGCCTCTTCTGGTGCAAAAATTGTGTGAAAACTGCCTTCAGAAGTCCTGCCTTCATCCACCTAGTTTAGAACCATTTCTTCTAATTCTTGTTTAATAGTGTTACTGAAAATGCCAGATGCCGTCCAGGCAGGGTGCAGTAAATGCACGTTGCTGTCTACACTGGGCTGGTTCATGCATGACTTTGCAGCCCTATTCACAGATGGTAACAGTGTTACTAGTGTAAGTCGGCTGGTTTGTACAACGTTGCAGATGCTGTGCAAAGTGCTGCCGCTCTGCCTGATTGCTGGGGAAACTGGTCCAGGTTGGCGCAGCTGGAGAGAAGGGGGCCTGGGTGCCGGGGTGTTGCAGGCTCAGTGAGTCGGAGAGAGGGGATTGCAGTGGGGGGAGGAGGGCGGGGGGATCGTGCCTTGGCGTGGGACAGGAGCCTTCCTGAGCTTCCCCAGCACAGGAGAGCAGGAATGGCTGGCTGGCTGTCCCAGTGGGTCTGCCTTCCGTGGACAGCTGCGGGATGAGCTCTGCCCCCTCCCAGCTCCTGCCTTCATCTGCAAAATCCATCCAGCTCGGTTGTCCTTCATTTCTGGAGAAGAAAGCTGGCTGTTTGGTTTGTGAGGAATGGCAGCAGCTGAGCTTCGGACCTCCCAGGAGGGGGAGTAGAGGAGCCTTCACTGCCGGCCTTGCACCCCTGCGTGGCTGGGGAGAGGCTGCGGTGGTGCTGCCTAAGCAGGAGAAGGATCAGTGCACGGTCCCACTAGTGCTGACAGGCTTCCCTGACTGGGGACAGTGGTCATTTTGCTTCCTGGTCTGAAAGGCAGGGCATGGCATGAAGCATTGCATCATTCATAAGCAGAGATTTTCACTTAAACCTTTCAGGTAAAGAAATGCAGGTTTCATACAGTAATAATAGTGGTGGAAATGTTGACTTTGAAGGTTGGAATTTTGAATTATTTTTGGTATCATGTAACTGGCAGAAATCGTAACAGAAAATAGCTGGGCTCTTCACTTTCCACACCTTTTGGCCATGTAGAATATGATCATCTACATCCAGGATTATATGACCTTTCAATAAATTAACTTCTTAAAACGGTTTAAAACATACTAGTCTGTCTTTATTTAATGAACCTTTGGATTCTGTCTGTATCTGTAACTGCTACTTTGGATAAGGACTTTTGGGCTCGTGGAGCTCTGCTGAAGGTAGGAGGTCTTTTCTTGTGTGCAACTGAACCTAGGGAAATAACTCTCCGGCCCCTTTTCTTCAGCGCAGGTTTTCTAACAATAGAAATGGTATTGTCAAATGCAGCTTTTCAGTTTTCAGGATAGCTCTGAAAGTAATGAGGAAGGCGACTCTTGCTCTTTTTCACAAAGTACCACATAGGAAAATATATTTCATGATTGGCCAGTAAAATAAGATCTGATCGGTTTCTGAATTCCCACATTTGCTACGTTTGATGTTCACTGTCCTTTCCTGTTTTAGCAATTATTTTTGTTCTTCACACCATCTATCCAAATTGTTATAGAGGGGTATATATATATATACACATGTATAACTCTTGCATCACTAGGGGTCATTTTACCAGCCAGAAAATCCAGTATGTATCTGGTCTGGATTTATTGGAAAGACTCCTGGACACTTTTTTGTTTCATCCTGCTGTCTTTTCTCCCTTTTTATTTCACACCATTTCCTAATGGATCTCATTTCCCACTCATATTTTTTTTTAATTCTTTCTCTGACATACTTTACATTGAGGGTGTTTAGAAAATAAGAAAATCAGTTAGACAGGAAAACAGTTTACCTTAAAATTTAGCAGTTCACATTCAGATGTAATTAAAAATACATGACCTATATATGTGGTTAATTCCTCTCAAATTATTTCTGCGCACTTTTCTTTTATTGGGTTATATTGCTTTTTTTACATTTCAAGATATTTACAACTGCTATTAAAAATGTCTGGCAGGAGTCCTGTGAATTAATTAGCTGATAAAATTTCAGTTTGTTCATCCAGTAATACCTTAATATGTGCCTGGTGGAGATACACAGCGAGAGGCACTTTTTCTTTTTGAAGAAGGAATTGAATTCTCTACTAGTAGAGGGTGTCACCTGTCAGTGAAAGGTGGCTTCTTACCCAGCGCTGTCCGTAATTCCCAGAACCTTGGCATTATGGGGCATGGAGGTCATGGGAGGCAGTAAAAGTCCCACTCATACACCAACATTCATCCCATAGAAATGGCCCAGTGAGGTGTCACTCACAGTAGCCTGTGCAGATGACTGAATATGGACATGTGCATACTGCTGAGTTCCTGGATTTGATGTACCCTCAGAGACCTATAAATAATAACTTCTGCACTCTAAAGTTACAAAAGAAAAACCTTGTGATTTACCAGATTCCCAGCACAAAGTGAGGGCGGGGGGGTGGATGTGGAGAGGGGATGAATATAATGCTTTCCCAAGTGGTGTCTGTTTCAGTGGAGAAATAAGGGCAAATGAAGGCATCTAAATTAGGATCTTGCTCCACATCTGGAGTAGTTTATATTTTTATTGACTATGTGGGGCTGTTTTGGAGATTAGTGTCCTAAGTTAGCCACCTAAACTAGGT